GTTGCTGTTCTCTTGAGCTTCCCTCCATATTCAGGCTTTAATATTTAATCACTAACACTGCCCGTGCTGCGCCTGTGCAGTTAATCTGTGTGACAGTCAGGCAACAAACACCTCGCTTCAGCCGAGCACCCGGTTTGGAAAAATGTTCTCGTCAGCCTTAAATACAGAAAAGTCAGAATGTCTCAGAAAGATAAAGTTTCACACTTTATCTGAACGGTGCAGGAATAATATTATAGAGCACCTGAGGCACTGAGACAGTCTAAGACAAGCCCAGGCTCACTTTGATACCTCTGTGTCACTGATATACTTTCTTATCAATCAGACACTTTGACTGAGATAAACTGAAGCTCAACAACACTTTGAGGAATTATTTGCACATTTCCCCCGTTTACTGGTTACAGAATTAAAGCATAAGGACAACATTAAGTATGACAGGAGAAGCCAAACTGCAGTGCACAAAAACAGCGGCGTGCAAAATCTCAGACCACCTCATGTCTTTGTAATTTGCAGGGAAAACTGGAAATGGGTGCAGGAATTTAACGCAGTATCTGCGAACATACTTGAGTACAGTATGCAAGACAAAATCAGAGTTTGTGCAGTTTTTACAAACTTGACATTTTATTACTCGACTTTTCTTCACGCAGTCTTCAGGAATAGTCCTCCAGGCTTCTTAAAGGACATTCAAAAGTCTTCTTTAGATGTTGTTTTGTTCTCTTGCTTCAGTAACACTGAAGTCCAGCCTCTGGACAGCACCAGCCCGTGAGTGATCAGGTATGTTTTTACTGCTCTGGCGGTGTGTTTAAGAACATCGAGAACATCTAAAGCTGTTGGCTGAAATGAAGACCTGGACTGAAAAGCAATGAAAAAGCAAAGACTCTGAGAATTACTGCTTAAAACCAGTTTTTAAAAAATGACAAAGTCTTCACATCAAACCGAGCCAACGTTTGTAATAACAAAGTCAGTGTATGAGCCACACATCCCTGTGAGCCAACAGCTCAGCCTGCTTCAAACACCAGCACAGTGTTGAATGCACAGTCCTGACATGGTCCATCTCAGTCATGCTGTTCTGCCTTTCAGCACAGAAGCCCCACCCACCTGCTGTTGAAACCTTGTGTTTGTGAGTGATAGCCAATCAGTGGAAAGTCAGTGGACTCCAACAATGCTGATCTGGTAAGAGTCTGCTGCGATCTGATTTTAAT